GGGCTGATTGTACCAGGGGGCTGCCTGATCCCAGGGACCAATTTAGCGACTTTTCCCCAGTAATGCTTTAAACGGGATTAGCCCTAATCTCCCGGCTCCGGGTCCGGCACGGGACGCCAAAGCCGCTCCGGAGTCGGGATCGTGCAGCGCCGACCCACCGGAAGGAGGGGAATATATTCCCCATGGATCAGAAAAATAATTGGAAAACAATAAAGAAATTCCGCCCGAGGGGGATTCATCCCACAGCAGGAAGGGGTGTCCATCCCCCCGGCAAACTGGGTACAAGTGATACGAAGTTCGGCCGTTCTCAGCCCTGTTTTGCGGGAAGAGAAGCCATGGGAGAGCAATTCCCGCGGGAAGAGCAGCCCCGGCCCTTGTACCTTTAAGGTTTATCCGCCGGGAGCAGCCACCCCGGCCGGTAAAACCAGCCGGATCCCGGCGCAATCTTTGCCCTCGCCGCGACGCCGCGGCTTGTTTGCCTTGCAACAGCGCCGGCGCTTCCCGCTTTCCCAACGCTGCCCCGTGGCACTTTTCCCTCTTTAACACCGAGGAATTCCCCCCAAAAAAGGGTGATTTGGAGCCACAAATGGCTTTTTTCCAGTGCATCCCCCATGCCAGAGGTGGGAATAGGCAATCGGAGTGGGTTTTAAGGGACCAAAAGCTCCCATCTCCTGTGCAAACACCCCTAAAATCCTAAAGGTTTCTAAGGAGTTTTTCCTACGGTAGAGAAAGCGGCTTGGCTTCATCCCTACCGGAGCGTGACCGAGGGTGCCCATCCTCATCCTCAGCTGCCGTTTTGCCGCCGGAGCATCCCGATGTCCTGCCCAGGAAGGAGGCTTCTGCGGAGCACGAATAGAGACAAGAAGCAAATGAAACCGCAGGAACTGCAAAATTGCAGGAATTGTAAAGCCGGCAGAGCTGCAAAGTTGTGGGAACTGCAAAGCCGACGGAGTTGCAAAGCTGCAGGAATTGCAAATGAAGATGCAAAGCTGCAGGAATTGCAAAGCCCACGGAGTTGCAAAACTGCAGGAATTGCAAAGCCGATGACGTTGCAATGCTGTGGGAGTTGCAAAGCCGCGGGAATTGCAAAGCGGTGGGAATTGCAAAGCTGGCTCCAAAAGCACCTGAGAGCACCTGAACGGCGCAACCTCAGCGGGAGCGCCGGAGCCTTCGCTCTCCAGCCTGGACTTGCATTTAAAGCCCAGTGACCTGCAATAAAACCCCGCGGTCTCCAGGGAACGGCTGCCGACGCCCAGCCGGCTTTCCCGACCGGAGCAGCCGGAGCGGGTTTTTCCAAGCGGGACCCCGCAGCCCCACCGCGACCCCAAACCCACCCCCATCCCGGGCTGCTTCTCTTTTTTCTCCCCAAACACCGTTTTCTTCCACTTTGCTCCCTGCATTGCACATTTTTTGCTAAACTTCAGCCCTGTTTTTTTTTCTTTTTCCCCAGAAAGGGAACGTCAATTTTTGCAGAGTTTCAGCCCCAAATTTTGCAGTTTCAGCCCCAAACTTTGCACAGCTTCACGCCCCCACCCCAGTTCCTGACCCCCCTCGCTGCTGGGGTCCCCAGGCCGCTGTGGGGCCCACGGCCGTGGGGCTGTGGCTGCTACCTGGGCTGGTGCTGGGCGGTTGTTCGGGGCTGGCGCCGGGGTCTCCGCTCCACGGTTGTTGCGGGCGGTTGTTCGGGGACGGCTCCCTGCCCCATAGCTTCCCCCCCCAGCCCCACAACCTACCCCATAACCTGCCTCCAGCCCCACCACCCTGCTCCCTGCCCCCT